AATTATTTGCTTATTTCCTCTATTCATAGGTTAAGCCTCAGCAAAGTCCTGGGGGAGCTTACGCACGGGAGCACTTGGACCGGCGAACTGAGACTGGAAGTGCTCACTTCATGGTGTCGGTATACTTTTGCTGCTCCAAATATGGCAACCGACAAACCCGCGATGGGAATAATTCTATGCGACATCTCTTCTACTAAAAACATTTATCATACTGAAAAATTATGTTCCGGCTGTCGCAATGTTGAAAAAATTTGGAGCTAGCCGGAGAAAACGGCCGAATCTGTCCTCAAATGCACAGACACAACGTTTCCCCGACTTTGAGACTCCCATTTGTGCGAGTGGCAGGCGGACAAGGATAACCGGTCCTGCAGTATTCACCGAGCTGCACTAGGTCGGCCTTGTCAGTCCTGATCAGAAAAAGGTGGCAGAAAGATGGTTGAAACAAATCAATCTCTTCAAATGACGACGTAAAGACGATCGTCCCACAGATAACTCGCTAAAAGGAAAAATAATATTGAGTGGACTAGGTGGTCCAAGCCCCCATCTAGGGGCCCGTACCTTGCAACGTCTGTGTTGCAGAGAACTTGGATGGACTCACTGTGTTCCCATATTGCATGAACCCCATACCCCTCCCCCATGGACCAGCCCCAGATAAAAACTGCACTTAGTACGTCCTGGATCTGGGGGCACCCCTCCACAGATCCAGGCAAAGGACGACAATCGTAGGAACTGAACCGGTTCCAACCAGTTCCAACCAGTTGCTGCCGAACCAGTTCGGTAGCAACTGGAGCAGGAGCTGGAACAGGAGCAGTCCGGTAGCAACAGGAGCTGTCCGGTAGCAACAGGAGCTGTCCGGTAGCAACAGGAGCAGTCCGGTGGCAACAGAAGCAGTCCGGTAGCAACAGGAGCAGTCCGGTAGCAGCCGTTCAAAAATAGCCGAGTTAAGCTCGTCCGCGGCTGCACGTTTCCATCGACCGGTTCCTCCAACCCTCGGCTCACGCCCCCCAACAGCAGACGAGCCGTTTGCGCAGTTCACTCCCGATCGATGGTTTAGTAAGCTGGATAAGCTGGAATTACGTGGAGCTCGCATGCAGCGGAGAGTTGATGAGGCCTCCAGAGAGATCCCGCTTGATAAGGGCGCACCAAAGTCCGCATCGGCCAGCGAGACATGCACGGTGCTACTACCGGCCAGGGGCGCAGCCAGGATTTGTTAAGGGGGCGGAACGTGATGTGTAGGCATCTGGGCGATTTCGACTTCCCTTCGCGAGCCATCTATGGTGAAAAACGACAATCCGAGCGTAGGGTGATCCGATCACCCCCCCCCCCCCTGCCCCCTGGCTGCGCCCCTGCCACCGGCCGAGCTCAATTCAACGCAGGCGGATAATCGATAGGCTTTGCAAGGGCGGAGGACTACCTGGTGGTGTGTTGTGCGCAGAAATGACTGGTACATAGTTGCTGAGGTAGTCGAGAGATCCGTCGAATGCAACATCAAGACCGCGCACAACACCAACCAGAAGCCGTTGGGCTGATGCGGAAGTGACCTGAACTTCTTGAGATACGTGGTCGGCGCCAGGGACATTCATCCAGCAGCGGTGTAGATGAACTCGTATGGCGTGGATAGGAAAGCGTTGATTTCCACAGTAATGTGGACGAGCCACCAGCACCACCACTGGCCTATGCCAGAATTCGTATTCTGAACAGGGGAGCGTTGTGCTTTAAAAAAATCATAAAAATCCAGATCAGGGACTGCGGGCGCACGAAGAAAACAAGATGGCGACAGAAGTTGACGATGGAGCTGCGTGGCGACGGCGTAATACGTCTCATATTCTTAATTTGCTTAGCTTTGCTTGCGCACATCGAATCTTGCTTTGTTTGTGAAAAAATTGATGGGGGGGATGGCGTAGCCCTACCTGCGTACAATACAAGGGATTTTTACTCATTTAAAGATATTGAAGAAAGCATCAGCTATGTAGAAACAAGCTCACTTATACCTGGAAGTATACCTTTGGAGTGGAAAAGACTGTTCTAGGCAGCACAATTCTCTGTTAAGTAAGCACGCTCCTCAATGTGTCATGGCGTGATTACGTCATCGTACGCACAACATTGACTGAGAGCCAATTGAGGGCCGTTATACCTGGAAATCGCGCTCGCGAACGCCGGATATGAACGCCTCGACAATGATATTTTTCTTGGCTTTGATCGCCGCGTGGCATATGGAATGGCAGGACTTTAATGACGTTTTGATGACGCCAGGAATGCCAAGGTGACTTCGAAATACTCTCCCCGGTATTACTTATCTCCATTTCCGCGGGCGTGTGCCTTACAAACTAGAGGGGCTTAGCCCTTAAGAAGAACAGGGTTGTGAACAGCACTGATCGTAATTCAAGATGGCTTTTTCAGTTCAAAACACCACTTAAATGTGAAACACTCCCTTTAATGCCCCGCCACGCGGCTCAGTGGGTCCCGTCCTCTCGCGTCATTTGACATTTAGCGCAGCCTCTACCACCGGCCGCAAACCACACGAATCAACGGCAAACAGCGGGCTTCTAACGCGACCCGAACCCACCTTTCTACGTGTGGGGATCGAAGGGCAGGCGCTCTGACCAACTGAGCTATCGGAACGGACGTCGGCACAGCGTACTGCGTGGGACGTCGGCACAGCGCACTGCGTGGACATCGGCACAGCCACTGGTGGGCATCGGCACGCGCACTGCTGGGACATCGGCACAGCGCACTGCGTGGGCATCGGCACGCGCACTGCTTGGGACATCGGCACAGCGCACTGCTTGGGACATCGGCACAGCGCACTGCGTGGGAATCGGCACAGCGCACTGCTTGGGACATCACACAGGCCACTGCTTGGGACATCGCACAGCGCACTGCTTGGGACATCGGCACAGCGCATGCGTAGGACATCGGCACAGCGCACTGCGGGACATCGGCACACGCACTGCGTAGGACATCGGCACAGCGCACTGCGTAGGACATCGGCACAGCACACTGCTTGGGACATCGGTACAGCGCACTGCGTAGGACATCGGCACACAGCGCACTGCGGGGACATCGGCACAGCGCACTGCTTGGGACAGGCACAGCGCACTGCGTGGGACATCGCACAGCGCACTGCGTAGGACATCGGCACAGCGCACTGCGTAGACATCGGCACGCGCACCGAATGGGGCATCGGCACAGCGCACTGCGGGACATCGGCACAGCGCACTGCGTAGGGGACATCGGACAGCGCGCTGGGGACATCAGCACAGCGCACTGCTTGGGACATCGGCACAGACACTGCTTGGACATCGGCAGCGCACTGCGGGACATCGGCACAGCGCACTGCGTAGGACATCGGCACAGCGCACCGCATGGGGCATCGGGGCTGCGCCAAGTCGGGCAGGTGATAGAGGGTCGGGCATCCGTCCCAATCTACGGTAGGAACCGTGACTGACAGGGAGTGGAATGATCTCAAATAAAACAGAAATCACTCTCGACTCTGTCCGCAGGAAAGCATGCCATGCTAGCCGCCATCGTCGTCACTCGCAGCCGCGTGTTTGCCAGCCAGAAGAGGGCGCTAGCTGGTGTTGACTTTTTCTGTGACACTGCCTGTGCAGAAACATTTTGCAGAAACGGATCGTCACGAAATGGCTCGTAAAGGGAATATCGTCGCCGCTGGTGCGATGAGTCAGGGAAGGTTAGGTTTTGTTCGGGTTTAGGTAAAATAGTGGAGTACAACTTGTTTGTGATTGGCAAATGCTGCTACCTTTCTGCCCAGCACCTATGTGTCTTCATGGCCTCTGCGATATGTACCGACTAAGTTCATTCATGGTTGTTAGACACCGGCTCTGTTTTCAAATGTCTCAACCCCATTATTATTAAGTCAGAGTGCAGATCAGATATGGAGCTCCAGCGAGGCTGGCCTGCGCATACGGAGGATAGGTACACAGTTTTCCAACTATGCCAAAGAATGACGTGAAAAACTTGAATAGGTATCCATGGCTTTGGGGGCTAGCGCTGTGCCAGCCACGTCACCCCAGCGCCAGGTCCTTCCAGGCTAGGTGTGGTGTGACTCAGCACTATTTCCAGAGAAAGCGAATTTTGTTACATACTATGAAGCGTGACATGCAGCTGTGTAATGTTATCCTCGCGAAACTGAGGGTACCTGTGTTCTTAAGATAGAGAAGGGACCACTTCTTTTACCCACCCTGTTATCCAGGGTTGCCCGCACAAAAGCCACCTTCGCTGGTGTTTTGCTCCGAAACTCTCGCACGCTTTTGGGCGTGTGTTCTGGATTCACATGCCTCATTTCCTAGATGTAGTGTTTTGTTGAAACTTTCTGAGCTCATATCGCTCCTGAGAATAGGAAGGCTCCAAATACCACGTACCACCAATATAGTGGTTTTTAGCATTCCACGTCGCTCAACCAGCACCTCCTGGTACCCTAAAGGTGTTACCCCAACACAATAACTTTAAATTCATAATTTCTGTGAAAGGCGTCCGATGCTATCACCAGCCGCCCTGTCGTGACATCGACCCACTATCACGCTCCCCCTCCCCTCCCCCCCCCCCTTCCTGAGTCAGCAAACAGGACTGTGCAACCCTTCCCCTCCCCCCAACGGCGGCGGCAGGTCTTGCAGCGGCGGCGGCGGCGGCGGCGGCCAGTCGCGGCCCACCCGCGCTGCAGCCCGTGCGCGCGACCCTGCGATGCTGGTGCTGGTGCTGGTGGCGGCGCTGGTGCTGGTGCTGGCGCTGCTGTGGCCGCGGCGGCCGTCCGGCGCACCGCCGGGGCCCCTGGCGCTGCCGCTACTCGGCACCGTCTCTCTCGCCGCGGCGCTCGACACGGACGACTTGCTGACGGTGCTGCGCGGCCTCTCCGATCGCTTCGGCTGCGTGGCCAGCTTCTTCGACGGCCCCCGCTTCGGCGTGTATGTCTCGGACGCGGCCGTGGCGCGCCAGGCGGTGGAGCCGGCGGCGTCGGCCTGCGCGCACGGGCGCGCGCCCAGCTCGGCACAGATGGCGCTCTCGTTCGGCTGAAGCGCGGCCTCATTGTGGCCGAGGCCGAGCGCTGGCGCCGAAACTCCCAGCTGGTCACCGACACGCTGCAGCAGATGCTGGACACGGGCGAGGTCGACGCCCTGCTGGCGGACGAGCTGGACGAGCTGACCGAGCCGCTGGCGGCGGCTGGCGGCTCGGTGCAGGTGCGCGACCTCTTCCAGCGGCCGCTGGTGAGCCTCTTCTGGCGGCTCGTCACCGGCCGTCGGCTGCCAGCCGCGCAAGCCGAGCGCCTGGCGGGTCTCCTGCGCGACGAGCTCGCCGCGCTCGGTAACCCGTGGGTCGAAAACCGGGTGCTGCGTAGACTCTTCCCGGAGCGCAGCGGCTGGGCGGCGACGCTACGCTTCCGCGACGAAGTGCGACGGCTCTTCGCAGCGGCCGTGGCGCCCGACGTGGCTGGCGGCGAAGGCGGCGAGGCGGAAAGCACGCTGATTGGCCGGCTGCGAGAGCTGCGGGGCGCCGGCTGGAGCCCGGCCAACGACGAGGACCTCGTCATGATCCTGTTCGACTTCCTCAACGGCGGCACCGAGCCTGCGCAGTCGCTGCTGGAGTGGGGTACTGCTCTACCTCGTGCGCGTTCCGGAGCAGCAGGCGCTTGTGCGGCGCGAGGTGGAAGCGCTCCGCCGGCCGGCCGGCGCCGCCGACCGCCAGCGCCTGCCGCACGCATGCGCCTTCGTCGCCGAGGTGCTTCGGCACGCGTGCCCGGTCGCCTTTGGCATCCCGCACCGCACCGAGGACGCCGCACACTGTGCACGGCTACCGCGTACCGCGTGACACGGTCATCATCTACGGCATCCTGGCCGGCCACTGGGACGGCACGCTCTGGTCGCAGCCGGAGCAGTTCAGACCGGAGCGCTTCCTGCGCGAGGACGGCGCGTTCGCGGCCGGTGACAAGTTCGTGCCGTACGGGGTCGGCCCGCGCCGCTGCCCCGGCCGGCGGCTCGCCGACGCGCTCGCGCTCGGGGTCGTGACCCGGCTCGTGCGTCAGTTTGAGCTAACACCGCCCGACGGAGCGCCGCCGCCACCCGAGGAGGTGGCCGTCGTGTTGACACGGCGCTGCGGACCGTTCCAAGCGCACTTCCGACCGCGGTGATAGGACCGTTCCGCGCGCAGCCTCTGTGCTGGTCAGATGGCCTTTTGGAGCGCAGTTCTGGCTGCGAAGAGCGTGCCTTTCTGCGCTTAGTTTCTGTCCCCCAGCATTTCTGCGTTCAGCTTTAGATGCGATGAAGCCGGGGGCGGAACGGAACCTCATCGTAAATGGTAGGACTTTCCTACGGTGGCGTCACGATGAGAAATGTCTGCGGCCATTTATATGTTAAAGATATTGCGTTATGTTTTCAGTGAAAACTGTAATACTCGGCGCTGTGACCGGAGCCATTTTTCACCCAAAGTGAATATCAGTGATCTCAGCGGAATCTAATGTGGATCTAAGGAATTCGTTCCATATTTGTTCCCACCTGTTCGTTATGATCTACGCACGTTTTTGAGAATTTCGCACGTCCGTTATTCAAGTGTACAACCAAACAGTAGCGGAGAGCAATGATGGCATTAACAACAATGACGGCAGGTGATGTCAAGAAAGATAACAGGAATTCTTCTTGGCAGAAATGTCTGGGTGGGGAGAGCGATAAATTCATTACACCGTCCCTGTTCTCAACAACAGGGTCATTCCACGCCAACTCAGGGCGTGTTCGGCCGGTAGCTAATCTCGGAGAATTCTCCGGAATTCTGCTCAATGTTGGAAAATATCCGGAATGGTATTCAGCACTACCAACATGGACAATTATCGCAGACTAACTTTCCGTTCCTCTGGAGGATCCCGGCGAATTTTTAGAGCATGGTCAAGATGGAGAGTTGTTCGCCACGGCTATGGAAATTACCGCCGACTGTGCACGACTCATGTCGAAAGAAAATGACGAATCATCCTCGGGGCCTGTCGAACGCAAATGGAGGATCTCCGTGGATGATTATCGGAGAAGCAATTAATTGCCACCAATTAATTGCCACCTTTTATTAATTGCCAAATAATTGCCACCCTTCGGGATGTGCACAGAACGTGGTCTGGCGGTTATCTTACGCTTCAATCGCAATATTGACCTTTTAAGACCTTTTTGCCCGGACATTTTCCGTTGGTGATGACGTGAAATGACGCATCGACAGGGATGCTCCTAAACGTTGATAATTCCGCAGTTATAGCATACGTCCTTCATTGGCAAACAGTGATAAGTAGCCAATGTAATGTCCTAAGTGGTCAAGTGAGCCAATTTTACTTATTGACACCATGCTTTGATTTCAATGTTTTTCATCATAAAAATCAATTTTCCAAATGATGGCACCATCATTTCGTCCGGAACATCGGTATTTGGACTCTTCGCTCAATTCTACATTGGAAAAAAATCGACAGCAAATGCGAACGTGCTCCACACCCGAGCAGTGCGGAGTGCGGCCATAGCTGAACGGACTGCGATGATGATTGTTGTTTTCGTTGCCTCGGCAACAACGATCGACGGTCGGCGCGGGAGGCGGCGGCAACCAACGATGCCTTGGAACACAGGTGGCGGGCCGATGTTGTTACACTAATGGCGCCATATATAATAAATGCACGGTCAAAACATTCATACAGTAGATGCAAACAATGCATGCCATTGCTCTCAGAGCTGAACCAGCAGCACGACTGTTGAACTTTCGTGTCGCCACGAGGTATTTTCTTGTTTGTATGATGTAACCTGAAAATACGATGCTTGCGAAAGTGAAGCCTGTGACTTGGCATAGTGTGGTCAAAAACTCGACCTTATAACATAAAAACTACTCCGAATCGCGAGATCTCTTTGAGACCAATCCATTGATGTTTTCGCTAGTTCTATCTTTATTTGCTGTAAAGGCCAGAAGCACGGTGTGTATCAATCCCCTTATCAGTCTGTGTCATGAAAAACGCTGATTCGGGTGAGCGTTAAGCGTGCATCTAAATTAACTTAATATGTGTTTTGTATTTATATAATAATATAATTTATTGATACATTAATATATATTGATGACATAACGTATTAATAACCATATAATTGTCATTGTTATAATTAATGTATGTAATTATTTCATTATACTAACAAATAGAGTTAGTGGTGGTGTTTGGAGATTAAACGGCAGAATATTAGCTATTTACAACATCTTGCCTTAGCCGTAAACTGTGGAACGATGCCATTATTTCACATTTTCCCAGAATAACTGATATCTCTGCATCAAAAACCATCGTCAAGAACATCATCCGCAAGCATTTTGTGAATGCATATTAACGTAACCAACATATTTTGAAGATATTGCTATTTTTGCCCTGCACGTGTGTAACTCGCTTCATATATAACTTCCTTCATGTTCCATAATCACGTCCTGATATAGTTAAAGTCATGCATTTGTACCCAAATTCACGGCGCTGGCTCGGGAGTTCTCCCAGCAACAAGCCCCGCTTGGCTGGGTGGACTCCCTGGATATCCAGGCTCAAAACACAACACGAATATGACCAGTCAATTGCCCCTCCGACTTGTGTGACTGTACAACGCTTACAATACTGTGAATGAGTGGTTGTAGCTTACTGGGTGGTTATAGAGGGCTGTTATTAGCTGACTGGCTAATGACTACTTTACGGCCTCTCATGTATTTTTTGTCCTTGCCCATGGCATAACACTATTCCTGTCGGGCCTGTACCACCTCTTCGCCTGTTCCTTTATGCTTGTCTCCTTTTCCTAGCTGGGAGTGCCGCGACTTGATTTTATGTCGAGTGCGCTCAACGAACTTTGGTTTGTTTTTTTTCGGTCGATCCCCAACAACGTACCACTCATTGCCAGCGGGCCTTTTCGATCGGTGATTTGCACAGACACGGCTACAACTAGAAATACTTTCACTTTGCACCTAAGATGTAACCTAGAATAATAAGTTTATGTGAGAAGGCAATCGGGCCGACTAGGGTAAATCTCTCATCACCGTCAAAACCTTTTTCCCAAATCCCCAGTTGACTGTGCAGGGTCAGCTTTGGCCTTCGTGTCCGCAAAGCCGTGGCCATAATACGGCGGCCTTGAAAAAAAATACTTGCGACCAAACCCCGAAGATCATGACTGTATGCATACCATATCGGTGGTATACCATATAGTATACCATGTAGGGCGATCAGCTGGTAATAGAACACACGGTCGGATGTTGGTTTCGACTTTATTCGTTCGATTCCATGTCAACGTATCACTCAATGCTTGTTGGCTGGTTGGAGAAGTAAATTCTGCAGATGCAGTGAATAATCTGAAATACATTTACATGTGTGCGGAAGGTGCAACCTTGTGCACATGATGTTAGCCTGAGAGCACTACCGACTGGTTACGTAAAACTATCATAAGCCGACACGACATGTTTTGAAATCCCCTCTGAAAGTGCGTGGATAACCATTGCCAGCCTGGTCGTACACGGTGGGTTAGAATAACGGCCCGGACAAAAATACTTCTAATCTAGCCCCAAGCCTTGCGACTGTGTACATGCGATAGCGATATCATAAGGCTATCAGCTTCCAGTGCAACGCAACGGTCGACTAGTAAACTAAATTTGTTCTCGCGTAATCCCGATTTCATGCTTGCGGACTTGTTGGCGCGGTGACTTGCCACTCCTGCGGCGGACAATTTGTAATGTTTTTGCGTGTGCAGGGATGGTGCAGCCTTGCGCACGCGACGTCATATTGGAATCGCTGTCGGCCGGCAATGTAGACATCTCCTCTGCCGGCGTGGCATTCTTTGCAAAATCACCCCCTTAACGGCGCATGGCTAACTACAGCAGCCTTGCCCGTGGAGAGATAGCCATAACTCGGCAACGAGGAGACAGCGCTTGTAACCAGACCCGAAGGTTGTTACTGTGTGCATTCGATAGCGGTGGTATAGAGCTATCCGCTTCAGTGGAGCACACTCCTCGGATGTTTGGTTTCAGTTTTATTCCGCCGACCCCTTCCCCCCTCCCCCCCCCCCCCCCCCCATCAGCGTATCATTCACTGATTGCGGGCTGGGCGTGGTGGTGATTTGCACAGATCCGGCGTCCAATTGAACTACTTTTACTTGTGTGCAGAAGATGAAACCGCGCGCTCAGGTTGTAATCGTAAGGATATGATCGGCGGGTAATGTAACGGTCCCACTGGCCGACAGGACCTTTTTCAAATATCCCCTTGACAACGCATAGCCGACACTTCCCGTTTAATGATGGTCATCATGCGGCGCCCCTTTGCAAATGCTCATAATCGATCCCGAATATTGCAACTGTGTGCATTCAACGGCGCTGGTATAGGGCTATCATCACCTCAGCACATACACAGCTCGGGCTTTGCTTTGGAGTTTGTTTTTCGGAGATCTCCCAAAAACGTATTACTTGACACTTGCGGGTCGGTTGGGCTGTGATTTGTAAAAACACGGCGTCCAAATCCAAATACCTTCGTTTCTGGCCGGCAGGTGCAACGTTGCGCAGGCAGTGTCATTGTGAGCACACTATCGGCCAAAAAAGAAATACTTCATCGGCCGACATGTTCTTTGTGAAATTCCCCCGCTGACTTCCGTCTACGCGTCCGCAGGGTGGCCATAATACGGCGGCCTGAGAAAAATGCCAAACCCGAAGATTGTGACTATGTGCATGCCATAGCGGTGGTATAGGGCGATCAGCTGACAGGAGAGCACACTTGTCGGACTTTGGTTTCGAGTTTATTCGGTCGATCCCACGTCAGCGTATCACTCATGCTTGTGGGCTGGCTGGAGCGGTGGTTTGCACAGACACGGGCGAAAGACTTGAAACACGTTTACATGTCTGCAGAAGAGGAGCCTTGTGCACACGGTGTCAGCTTGGAAGCACTGACGACCGGCAATTCTAATTTCTCATTGGCGGACATGACCTTTTTCGAGTCGCTCTCGTTTGCGCACAGCTAACTACTTCTGGCCTGGCCTATAGTTTAGGCCATAATGTGGCAGCCCGGGAAAAATACTTCAAATCAAGCCCGAAAATAGCAGCTGTGTCCGTTTGATAGCAATGACAGCGGGCTGTCAAGCTTTCCGTACAACACAATTGATAGCAATGGCAGCGGAC